ATAAAAATATATACACCTTAAAAATAATAAAAGAAACTATTTTTTTTTCTTCTTTACATGAGAGTCTTCAAAATAAGAAGTTTATTTATTATTGCTTCACTGCACCCAAATATTAATAATGATACAATTAATGAAATAAATAAGAGAATGGCTTGTCTCGTCAAATCTTTAGAGAGCATAACTATTGTTTGGCAAGTAAAATGTTCAAGTAGTATTTATATACCTTAACCAGAAAGTATCCAACCTTAACAGAAAGTATCCAGCCCAAATCAAAAAGTATCCAGCAGTAACCAGAAAGTATATCCAACCTTAAGCAGAAAGTATCCAACCTTAACCAACAAGTATCCAAATTTAACAAGAAAGTATCCAGCAGTAGCCAGAAAGTATCCAGCAGTAACCAGAAAGTATATCCAACCTTAAGCAGAAAGTATCCAACCTTAACCAACAAGTATCCAAATTTAACCAGAAAGTATCCAGCAGTAGCCAGAAATTATCCAGCAGTATTTTCATCATACCGTTTACTTCTTTAAATTACTCATAAACTCGTTTCTATAAAAAAAAAAGCGCTTCAGATTATCATTGACCTAAAGCACTTGGCATGGAATTGCGCTCCTTTCAGCTATTGTGCTCTTGCAGTAAGCAGAACATTAAATAAGAATTAGTGGAAACGTGAAAAATGTCCCTCCCACTCTAATAGGTTTTTTTTTTCTTTTTTTTTTTCCCTTTTTTTTTTTTCCTTTGGTACTGCGCAAATAGCAGATTTTTTTGGGTTTTATTTTTTTCGGTGAGTATTTAGCCCATTCTCCCTGAAATATATTTACTTTTTGGACTGGAACATTAATATTTTTAGGTTTTTTTTTTTTTTTTTTTTTTCCCTTTTTTTTTTTTCCTTTGGTACTGCGCAAATAGCAGATTTCTTTGGGTATTATTTTTGTCGGTGAGTCATTAGCACATTCTCCCTGAAATATATTCACTGTTTGGACTGGAACATTAATATTTTTCGAGATTTAAAATGCTCAAATCTTTGACACCATTCAAAAGTTCCCGTATAATCAATTTTGAAGACAAAAAGTTGAGACCATGCCCATGTTATATAACGTTAAAAAAGGGGTGGGGGTGGAGATAGGGATGGTTTATCGTTTTGATATATTGTTTTATATTGGGCGCTGCTTGTGGAGAGCAGTGTTATATTGGGCGGTGCTGGTGGAGAGCAGTGTTATATGTGGCGATGCTTGTGGAGAGCAGTGCTATATTGGGCGTTGCTTGTGGAGAGCAGTGTTATATTGGGCGGTGCTGGTGGAGAGCAGTGTTATATGTGGCGGTGCTTGTGGAGAGCAGTGTTATATTGGGCGTTGCTTGTGGAGAGCACTGTTATATTTGGCGGTGCTTGTGGAGAGCAGTGTTATATTGGGCGGTGCTTGTGGAGAACAGTGTTATATTGGGCGGTGCTTGTGGAGAGGAGTGTTATATGTGGCGATGCTTGTGGAGAGCGGTGTTATATTGGGCGTTGCTTGTGGAGAGCAGTGTTATATTGGGCGGTGCTGGTGGAGAGCAGTGTTATATGTGGCGGTGCTTGTGGAGAGCAGTGTTATATTGGGCGTTGCTTGTGGAGAGCAGTGTTATATTGGGAGGTGCTTGTGGAGAGCAGTGTTATATTGGGCGGTGCTTGTGGAGAACAGTGTTATATTGGGCGGTGCTTGTAGAGAACAGTGTTATATTGGGCGGTGCTTGTGGAGAACAGTGTTATATTGGGCGGTGTTTGTGGAGAGCAGTGTTATATTGGGCGGTGCTTGTGGAGAGCAGTGTTATATAAGATCCTTTTTTTTTTTATTCAAAAATTCTGCTTTTACCAATTTAAGAAATAATCGTACAATATTCAAACCTACAGTGTATTTTTTCGCTAACAATATTAAGAACACTTTTGTTATAGATAAGCTATTTTTAATTGCTCCAAATAAATGTTATTTGTTGTTTGTTTTTTTCATTTCATGGTATTTTTTTTTTCATTCATGGTATTTTTTTTTTTTCTTTTATGGTATTTTTTTTTTCTTTCTTTGTTTTTTTTTTTTTTTTTTTGGTTTTTTTTTTTTTTTTTTTTTTTTTTTTTTTTTTTTTTTTTTTTTTTTTTTTTTTTTTTTTTTTTTTTTTTTTTTTTTTTTTTTTTTTTTTTTTTTTTTTTTTTTTTTTTTTTTTTTTTTTTTTTTTTTTTTTTTTTAGTTTTAAAAATCTGTGGGGTTTTTTTTTTGGTTTTTTTCCCCCGTGATTCCTTAAAACTAGTCTGTAGCAAGACTTCCGTTCAAAATTTATGTGGTATGAATTACTGTTGAGTTCTTGAGTGGGAGTTGTAATTTTGAACATATTCTTGGCTCATTGTTTGAACGGTGTTCTCGAATGTTCTTTTTTTTTTTCTTTTCGGGTTTATCGGCGTGTGGGGTGAGGTGGTTGCTAAAACTGTTCAATACTATTAGGCGGGTGGCCAATGGAAATGTGTGAACGGCCCCAATGGCCTTTTGTATAGCATTTAACTGTTAGCCACTCGTTACACCTGCCTCACGATTCTACTTTAAAAGTTAGCTGGACAATGCATACACACGTCATGCATACATTAGTCGTCCATATAGAACTGAAACCTTATATAATATTTCCAACATTCATAAACAATTGCCTGGTTATTTGAATCTATTGCAAATTTATGATTTTGGCCCCGCAAGATTAATACAATTAACCTTCAATAAATAACCTTTGCTGAAGGTAACCCAAAACTATAAATATATTTATAACGTGTAATAACAAGGCGTCTACGGGGTTAGAGGGGGGGGGGTAGCACGTCATTCTCCGTGTGTTTCTGTTGATAAAACTACGATTAAAGTCCCCTACACAATGAAAGAATGATGAACACATTGTGCTCGTCGGAAAAATTGGTATGGTCTATTGTGTGGAATTGGTTGATTCGCATGAAAGCAGATACCGTACTTTTATCGGTGAGTTGGCCTTGTAGCACATAATATGTCTGTTTTATAATTGTCGGGATATTGCTTAGTTCGCGATTCAAAATGATTTTTTTGGGGGGGGGGGGGGGGGGGGGGTTGCGTGGGTTTCATCGAGTGGGGTCGTTGTGAATTCGGATGGTTGGATTTTGGAGTGGTTAGAAGGTGGGGGTTAGAGCGAAGTTAAAGTGATCTTAGCTTGTGATGGGATTTAACGTAAGAGTATATTATTTAGTTTTAGACGTACAATAATATTCATCATGGCTGGTGGAGAGTACGGTTGGTTTAAAGTTTGAGAATGAGTACCCATGACAGCTTGCACCTATGACTACCTGTACCTATGACTGCCTGTGCCTATGGCTGCCTGCAGCTATGAATGCATTAACCTATGACTGCCTGTACCTATGACTGCCTGCAGCTATGACTGCATGAAGCTATGACTGCCTGTAACTATGACTGCCTGTACTTATGACATCCTGCAGCTATGAGTGCATGAACCTATGACTGCCTGAAGTTATGACTGCATGAGTTTATTACTGCCTGTACCTATGACTGCACGTACATATGACACCATGAAACTATCAATGCATGTACCTATGACAACATGCACCTATATGACAACATGTACCTATGACTGCTTGTACGTATAGCTGATTGTACCTATGACTACCTGTACCCATGACAGCTTTATATTTTTGTAGTACAGCGAAGCTTCTCCTTGGTCTATTCATTTGTGTGTGTGTGTGTGTGTGTTGTTTTTTGTTTTTTGTTTTT